CCACTACACTAGTGGTGCTAATATTTCCCACCGTCTAGATCCTTGATCTTGACGGTGCCGTTTGCCCGCACAATTATTCCTTGCGCTTGCTCATGGTTCTCTTGAGACATCCCAAGTCCCCGCCACTTTCCTCCATACTAGTTTCATTTTCTTGTCCCGCCGGCGGTCCCGTCGGCTCGTGTCCCGTTTTTCGACTTTTATTATTTTGATCCACTTGGTCCTCGGTAACATTTCGGACGGTGTCCCATTTTTTTTATTTTTTGGCCCCCCTTACCATTGGTGGTCCCATCATCTCTATATGTGTGCCGATTTTTCTAGGTCGTGAGATCTCATCTCACGGTTGCCGTTTACCGTCTCCACTTGCCCCTTACCGAAATTACTTTTTTCTAGTCTCTCGGGCTTGCCATGACTCATTTTTCCTTAGCCTAGGCACCCCCATGCAGTCCGTTATTTCTCGGACTACGGTCATAGTTATTTTCCTAGTCCCACAACCCTTCAACTTGCCCCATGCCAAAAGAAAAAGAAGCGTTAAATCTCTAAGTGCATCCGGGCTCAATATTGGCTCCGGATGCACCTAGAAAATGTGTTTCCCCCTCCCGATGCAGTCCGTTGCAACTCGGATTGCAATGGGGGTCAATTCCCTAGCCCCAATGCCCCACAACTAGCCCTTACTTGAATGAAAAAGAAACGGCTAACTCCCAAGTGCATCCGGACTTGATTTTGGCTCCGGACGCACAAAAAACATGTGTTTTTTCTCATGCATGCAATCCGTTTTATTTCGGTTGCATAGGGCCTTGATTTTCTTTAATTTTCTCTGCAAAAATTAAAAAAAATCAAAGTCCTTTGTAACCGTCATATTCCAGAATGAATCTGGTTATGGATGTATCTCCCCAAGCGACCGTTTTTAACCGTTAGGGCCATTTTCTCTTTTCTTTTCTTTTCTGTTTTCTTTTCTTTTCTTTTTGCTCCTTTCTTGGAGAGTAGGGACCTGTCAGTCCCTACTTGTGGCATGTCAATCCCTACTTGTGGCAGTCCCTACTGACGGCCAACTCACTCACTCCCTCTCACTCTTTTTGTCTTATTCTCCTACATTTTCTTTTCTTTTCTCTCTTTTTCCTAGCATGTCAAGTGTCAAGTGGCCGTTAAGGCCCTTTTCTAGCCCCTTCCTCTTAGTTTTGGCCCTTCCTATGCCCAAGGTGCAGACCGATATATCTCAAACTGCAATAATGGTCTTCTCATGCTCATGGGGGCTTCCCTTTACTTCTACCTTTCTCCCACAATGACCCCTCCTACTCTGATTTTCTCCCGGAGACCTATTTTTCACATAGTCTCTTTTGACTCCATGTTCTTGAGGGAAGATGATCCTAGATTTTTCGGATTGGTCCCATGCCTTCCACGTCATGTTTCTTTGCTTTTCTTTTTCCTTTTTGTCTCTCTATTTGCTCCCACTAGTGCTTGCACCAGTGGTGCTAATATTCTTGGTCGTCAAGATCTCGATCTTGACGGTGCACCTTGCCTTTATTATTTTCCCTCATGTGGTGCCGTCGTTCCTTCTTGAGACTTTCACATGTCTCCGTCGTTTTCCCGTCGATGGTCCCCGACACTCAGTCCCGCCGGTGGTCCCCGACACTTAGTCCCGTCGGTGGTCCCCGGTACTTAGTCCCACCGGTGGGTCCCTGACCCATTTTGTTCCGGATGCCATTATTTCTACTTAGTCCCACGTGGCCCCGGGTGCCTTTTCCCAAGGTGTCCTACAATCCTTGGGCGTTTTTCGCCCCACGGTGACCCATCTCCCTTTTGTTTTCTTGCGCCTTGGGCGCGCTGATTTCTTTGGTCGTGGGTCTCCACTCCGAGGCTCCCGTAGGTGGCCCCCACGTTGGCCCCTCGTTCTCTAGCTTCCCACGGCCCCGGGGTCATCCATTTTTCGACTTCCTCATTCTTTTGTTGCTGTCGTGCTGCGTTTGCTGGTTCAAGGGCCCTTTGGTCGTAGTCTTGTTGCATTCCAACGACCCTCCCGGCCTCATACTATGTTCTACGTGCCATTGTTCTTGCGCTCACTCGCTCACCGTTCTGGTTCTCTCCCTCTGCGGTTTTTTCCCCAGGGCATTACTCCCTCCTGCGGCCCAATCCTTTTTTTTTCCTCTCTCTTTCCTCCTTACTTCAGATTTGTCTGTCGTGCACAATTTTTCTATATTCAGTCTCTCGAGTGATGGGAAGTTATTTGGGACCCACCAGTCCCGACAACGTTTGGCAGATTCAGCCACGACGACCCTTTCCCTCATGCGTCTTGCGACATCTCTGCACGCCGCATCACGTTCGATGTCAATGACGTCATCCTCATGACCCCTCCCACCTCCACCTCCGCGCCGTGCGGAATCTGTCTCGTTTCTCCCCTCGATTATTCTCATCCCCCACCCTTGCCTTACCCTCGCCTGTTTCTTCGAAGTCGTCATCGTCGTTCGTCGCCCCTTCCTCCCCCATCCGCTCATCTTCAACGTCTCGCCTGGCGCCTGCGTGCCCGCCTTGGACTTTTGTTCTCTTGTTGCTCACCTGATGCCATCCTTTCTTAACGGGAGCAGCGACCTTCATGCCGAGGTTCGTGGCACCCTTCCCACGTCCACCTCGACGGGACGACATTCCCCCCCCCCCCCCCCCCAAGCAGGCCTCTGATCACACTCTGCAAACACCGACAACGAAAGGTGGTGTACAACAAACAAAAAAAGGCGGATAAAGATTGTCGATAGTCGGAAAGCTGCGAGGAAGATCACGTGGTTGTTGATGACGAAGACGATTGCTGGGGATACTGATATGCCTTCGAATTCGTGCGCAACAAAAAAAAGTCGCGGGAGAGTCGTCAATGCAACAAAACGTTGCTGACGTGGAAGACACTTCCGTGATAAACCTAGAAGGACGTCGACGTTGGAGGCGGCGAGAAGAGCACAGGGCGGCGAGAGGTAAAGATGGCGAGAAGAGTAGAGGGCGGCGATAACGAAAGATGCCAAGTAAGGGCACAGAGCGAGAAGAGTACACGGTGGCGTGAAGTGAAGATGGCGATATGTCTGCCTAGGCGGTGAGAAAAAAAGATGGCGAGAAGACGAGATGGCGGCGGGAACGAAAGATGCCACGTAAGGGCACAGGGCGAGAAAACCACACGCCGTCATGAAGTTTACTTGGCGAGACGTCTGTCGACGTGGTGAGCAGAACAGATGTTCTCACCAGGAGCAGAGGGCAGCGAAAATGGGAGATGCCAAGCACGGCGAGATGTCTGTCGAGACGGCGAGGTGGACGACGATGAGAGGACCCGTGAGACGACTTCAGCGCCGCGAGAAGAGGCGATACGACTTGAGTACGGCGGAGGCAAAAGCGAGAAGGCTAGAATGCAGTCGTCTGTAGTGCCAACACGCCTGCCACACGTTCGAATATGCATTCGCTATGACTTACCGCCTGCTTATATTCGCATCGGCGCTTAGAAGGACGTCGACGACGGATGGCGGCCCGCCAATTGGACGACGGTACTGAAAAAATTGGTTTATGAAAACGACAGTGTCGTACAAATTACCGTGGATGGAGGTTCGCAGGGTGATGCAACACCCTCTTTCCATGCACCCTTACAAATTCGACATCGACGCGGACAGGCGACAGGAAGCCAGACTCCTCCACAACACCCCAACATCCCCCAAACCAACCCCCTTCAAATACGCCGCCCCTCATCACTTTTAACGTGTTAACATCAACATGTACCCCGCAGAGGCGAGATGATAACAAGAAGACGACCAACAAAAAAATTCCCACGAGAAATGAAAGTTGAAAAATTTTAAAATTGGAATGACATTTTTAAAGATGGAATGAAATTTTGAAATTTAGAATGTAATTTTACTATAGAATGAATATTTAATTCTGGGAATTTTTTCTGTTGACATCGAACACACAAAACGACTTTGCTCACATAGAAAAAAAAACGAAAAATAAATTTAAAAAAAAATGCATTTCAACTACGTGAATATAAAACGAAAAGCAGAAAAATAGTCCATTTCATTGCATCGACATGTTCATCTTCAAGCACCACATTCCTCGAAAACCATCACAACTTGCCTTTTCGTTTACAAAATCCATGTTCAATCCAAAACACGACACAGGGAGACATCGTGCTCTGTATTTGTGTGTGTGTTTCTGTTTCAGTGTGTTCGTGTGTGTGTGTGTGTGCTGTCTCTTATACACATCTAGATGTGTATAAGAGACAGCCCTTTCCCTAAGGCTCCAGAGTCCCTCACATCAA